GTGACCAGCTGATGTACAAATCGGAACTTTCTTTCGACGAGAGAAATCTGGTGCTAATGCACCGACTGATGAGATGGAAGGCTCGGTTGGTCTGGGGAATATTGAGCCTGGATGCGATTTCCTGGAATGCGCGTCCGATAAACGCAATTTCACACACTGCCATTTCCCCATCTTCACCCTACTAGTAATAAAAGCTTTGATAATGGTAAAATTCAAAAAATAATCTCGTACGATAATCCGATTAATATTTGTTTTTCCCATTTTTTCAAACAAATTTTGAAGCTACTTGACTTAAATTTAAAAGTGAAAATATAAGCAAATGAAAAAGATTTGTTCTAGAGGAAATAACCGACCTGGGCCTTCGTGAACGTTTAGGAAGTGGCCTACTCCATGTCCAGTACCATGACCATAATCTAAACCGACCTGCCACAATGCATGTCTTGCTAGGGTGTCCAACCGAATTCCTTAAATTTGAAGTTACTGGTCTGGACCGACAGTTCATTAGGAGCCAGAGATGCCTTTTGCAAAAAGATAGGGGTTAGACATGATCTGTGGGAAATGTAATACCTGTAAGTCCTTGTGGAAAGACAGTGTTCGCCAGATTGATGTGTCCCTTCAGTACTAACGTATTATTTCGTATAAAGTCTTGAGGTATCGGCGATTTGGATGAGATCCAAACGGTGCGAGTAACATCAGTTGTACCGTCCCTGAATATGTAAACTTTTGAAAAACTGCGGGTCCACTTTTATCAGCCACCACTCTCTTTCTACTTCATAATCTCGTAGTTGTGAGCCCATTGCTGTATTCCTTGAAGGTACAGTTCACGATAATTTTGAGGCACCCGTTTCTATTCGCAAAGTGGAGGTATATTTTGGGAATAGTTCATCGGTAGTGAAGAAAGCGAGAGAATTTGCCGTTTTCGAGAAAAATATGGCTCCTTAAAAGTAGGGGAAATAGAGGTTGGACGACATTACCGTGACGGAAGAACATGGAAGGGGTATTCGGACAAGGCTTCGATTACAACATTTGCGCAAAGAGCTGGCTAGATCAAGAAAGAATGGGACATGACAAGTTGTTTGAACTTCCTGTATGGGTTCCTTTGATCGGTGCAGCCTCTACAATGCTTTTGGGCATTTATAACTCCCAACCTAACTTTCCGATCTAATAGCACCAGGTTGGGCGCGGGGGCCTCAAACTCATCCTGTGGGGAATCTCAGAACCCATTTTTATGGTGAACTGTGCCTTTAAGCGTTTCATCGTAACCAAGCTATACGTAATGCCTGCTCTCAGGTTTATCTACTGAGCAAAGTTCACATTTTCCAAATTCTCAAGCTCTTTGGGAAAATAAGGAGGGTTGAATCGTTCTGCGCTTATTGACTCCCTTTTGGAGTGCGCCACACACTTCAAATTCGAACTTCATTAGCCTGTTGATCTGTCTTCGCAAGACAGAGTAATTCCTGCCCAGGCCTGATGCTAACTAATCTATTACGACACGAAGGCGGAATTCCTGGCCAATAAGGGTGAGATTCGGCCTAAACTTGTTCTGACCCTATGGGGTAGCAGCACCACCCAATGTTAGCTTCATACTCTTCTGTAAACTACTCCTAACGTGGAAGTAATACCTACACTTACCTATAATGTGCTCCGGAGTCTAATAGGTAGACCTCGTCAGCGGTCACTAATCGCTTGCCTGCTTCTCCTTCAGGATGGTGATGTGGCTTTGCAGCATGATCTCCAGCAGCAGAGATAGAGAAGGTACTGAAAATACATATTATTGAATTAAGAAATCGATCTATTTCCAAAAATATTGAACAGTCTTCTTTACGAACTCAAGACTGATGAATTATCAGTAATTGTGTGGTGTCTCGACAGACTGCATACAGAGTTCGTGCTCAAACTCATGAAAACAAGCAAATACTACCAACCAAACCTTTTTCGTAGGTTTCAGGTTTTCGCTCCTGGGTTATACCATATACGATCACTGCTCACGATCCTACCCCCCCTCCCCCCTCGCTATTTCTCATGATCTC